CTGAAATCTTATGGCTGAGGTCACTACTTGAAGAGTTGGGTATTGACTATGAAAAGCCCTTAATGCTCTATTGTGATAATCAGGCAGCTATTAATGTAGCCCACAACCCAGTGTAGCATGACAGAACTAAACACATCGAAGTTGATCGACATTTTGTGCGAGAAAGGGTCACATCACAAGAAGTGTGTCTTCCGTACATCATATCTAATATGCAGCTCGCGGATATCCTCACCAAGGCTGTACCAAGGAAGAAATTAGAGACAGACCTATCCAAGTTGGGAATGATAGATATCTACTCCCAACTTGAGGGGGAGTGTAGAGAACATTGATGTGGGCTCCACTGTAGTGGTTCCCACTGTGTTCGTAGGACAGCATGTGTAGTTATTTGTTTCAGTTATAGTAGTGTCAGTTTGTTAATTCAGTTATTTATTTCAGCTTTATTTACTTTATTTATTATGTAAGTACTAAGGGCAGATGTGTCCTTTCCATTGTGTACTAAATATAACCTATAAATAATAAGAAAGTGGCGGTGGTAGATTTGTTAGAATCTGTTCCTTTTTTCAACCACTTGTGTTCTCTTGTTCCTCTTCTATTCTCTCTTCTTTCTCTCACTTTTCTTCTATTTTGTAAACCTAAAACCTATTAGGGTTCAAGACTGATTACAGTCTTGATCTTCTACTAGAACTAACAAAACATTTCAAAGGTTTCAACTGATGGTGCCAACTAGCTTAGGGACTATTTGATAGTTGCTGAATTGGTTGTACTGAATTACTTTTTTTTTTCCATTTTTTGAACTGAATTATTTATTGTTTTGTACTTTAGATGGTGAATGCTTGTTTCAAAGTAAAAGGGGTGGTGAACACTATGAAAGGGCCCAACATATAACCAAAACTGTTGGATAGTGTACTTTTATAAACTTCCACTAAACTGTTGGATTATCTACCTGAAACATTTTGGGTTGATCAATACAAATTGTTGTTTCTACTTGAAATGTCAATTTTGATGTTTCAACAATGTCAATGATCAATCTGACACATGCATTTTTCTATTTGAAGTGATTTTTCATATGTGATGTGACGACATACATATTTCTCACCAATTTATATTAATCAACCTAAACGTTTCAGGTAAAAATAGCAATGGTAGCAAACACAACCTGAAATGATCTAGAGGATGCTTTTTCTAACATGCTTAATGGTGATGTCAATTTTTAGGGAAGTGTTTCTCATATGTTTGCTCCTTACCTCGTGATGCCTTGTATATATTCTGAGGACAGAGGACCGGCCCATAGATAGGTTTGAGCCCCCATAATCTGCCACCTATCCCTTCTTTTGAGTAGAGGGACCAGCATTCCATGTTTATTCTCTAAATTCTAATAGATCTTATTACTGGAAGGGTAGATTTGAAAAAGGACTTATACTTAGCTAGGATTGGATGGTAATAGGAAGCAACTTCTTCATAATTCAATACTTGAGTTCTTAGGATTTTATATAACATATTCTTATCTTACTAGGATAATTTCTCTTTGCAGGGTTTGCATCTGGACAACATTCTTGTTGTTTTCTCTGCATTGCCATCACTAAATTTGGAAGGATTGCATGGGGCGTTTTGACATGTTAATATTATAGTTGTTCTTTTAATCCAAGAGGCCATCAAGGATCGCATTATATTTTGCATAGGTAAATATTTATTTTTTATACATATTTTTATCGATATCTCATTTATTTTACATTTCCTAACAATTTATATGTTATAATTTGCAGGTTTAACATTATGTCAAGTGGATTTGCATTGGAAGATGTGCTACATTATATGACATTGAATGTTTTTGAAGCCCTTGTGTTTTTCTATATGTCAATTGGATATTGTATTTATTCATCAAAAAAATTTGGATATTGTATTTGGACATTATAGTAATTAATTTTGTAAATTAATAAATTTTGCTTTAAATTACATTTTTTATTTAAGTTGTTTATAATATATCAATTGGCATGAGTTTTGTATTAAACATGTATTAAAGTGATTAATGTTGGAATTACAGTGTAGATGAAATTAACCTAGTATAAAAATAAAAAAAGAAATATCAAAGCCGACGGTCATCCAACCATTTGTTTAGCCATAAAAAAAAGACCTAAGGCAGCGGTCATATTGGGATCTAAGCTGGCGGTTTAGACCGCCACCAAAAGATTTAAGGTGGCAGTGGCTTAGGGGGCCGACTTCTGACCGCCGTCTTAAATCAAGGGTGGCGGTCTAAAGGCTTAAGCCGGCGGGCTTTTGACCATTTTTCTTGTGACAATTAGATTCATGTTTCTTGGCCTAAATTCTTTACCCACCTTTGTCCAAAAGGATGTGGCAATCCTTGCTCATTTTTCAGCATAACTAGGCATAACTATGATGTGTCTCTTATGGGGAATGCCCTAACATACTTTTGTCCATTTGATGACACCAAACTCAGGTTAAGGTCCTTCTAGGAAACGCCCTAGCATGAAGCATGAAAAGACAATTTAGGATCCACGACCATAAGGGTTTAGCAAAAGTTTTAATACTAATGCAACCCTCTTTAGGTTATCAAAAATATTTTCCCATTCCACTCATTTCACACAACCCAACAAATTAAAAGGGGAACATGGGCCATAAGATAGTATCCCCACTTGCTACCAAATTTTATAGGAAAAAAAGAATCAAATCTCACATTGATAGAGAGAATAATTAGGAGAACTAAAACCATGAATGGTAAAACTCCCAAAGAAAAGAGATGACAAGATAAATTGGAAGAAATGGTGAATTGACTTCCTCCCCACAATCTTATGCATAGTGGAGAGTGTAATAATTGTGGAGTTGCATCCCCCTCATTATAAAGGTGATCCATATGCACTTTATCAAGGAATATGAGAACATGAAAGCCACTAAAGGTGATCCATATGCATTTTATCAAGGAATATGAGAACATGAAAGCCACTAAAGGTGATC